CCCTTAGTGCAGTTGCCAGTAGTAATGGGAAAGCCCAACTAGTGTAGTGGTGGCTCCTGGAGAGAGTCATTTTGTGCAGATGGGGTCGGGATTCCCCTTGCTGGATGACAGATTGTCTGACGAAACCAGAGGTAAACTGGACAAAGGTAATGGAGGTATTAGATGGCCAGTCAGTTGTGGCTTGTGTCCTCCCCTGCGGTTCGGGGGCAAGGGGGGGGGGATATATGGCAGTGCGTCGCAATGCGACTGTGTTATCTCCATTCCTGTGTCCAGAATTTGAGTGGCCGGCGCAGGCTGATGGCACAGGTGTGCACAGCCTTTAAAATAAAGGTGTTGGAAAGGGTTCAAGGCTCCACCTGGGAGACAGGAAAGCTCCACCCAGGAGTCAGGGTGGAGGCCAGCGCAGCAGGGTGCTGCGGATTAGAAAAGCACCAGTGTGCAGGTTAGCACACTGCTGTGACTGTCTGGAGGTACAGACAGTTGGCTGAGGCCAGAGCAGCGGTGCTGCAAATGCAAAGCCAGGAGGCTGGATGGGCAGGTGCTGCCATGAGATGCTAAAGAACCCTTGTGAGGGTAATTGCTTTGTTTTGAGAACTTTGCTTTAATAAAAGTGGGCAAGGAAGATTACAGCGAGTGGATGCGTCCTTAAGTATTCACTCAGGTGCAACAAGTCCAGGGCCGGTGCAAGGATTTTTGCCTACACAGGCGAAAGAGCATTTTTGCGCCCCCCCCCCCACACACACACACACGCGCGCATGCGCCTTTGGATGGCTGCCTAAGCACCGCACTTTCAGTCAATTAACTCTGCCTCCAATCAATATTAATACATGTCTGTACCTCGGTACGGGCATGGATGGGAGTAGAGATCCACCAATACCATTTTTTTCTAGACCGAGTACATCAAGTATAGAGGACTACAAATACAGTTCCTACTCTTCCCCCACATCCCCTCTGTTCCCACATCTCCCCTCTAGGAGAGCGTTGTGTGGGAGGAGACAGCCCGTGCTGTCACAGGAAGCTGAGCTCTCCTCCCACACCGCTCGCTCAGCCTCCTGTGACAGCTGTCAGGATGGAGAGTGGGTACAAGCAGTCACTGAGCAGTGATCGCTGAGTGTTTGCACATAGTGGAGGACAGAGTATGGTTACTATATCCTCAATTATGAATGGGATCTACATCACCTCCTGTTCATTCATGATTGTGGTTATAGTAAACATACTCTGTTCTAATGTTATCAACGAACAGGAACACTCAGCATAGAGGATTCCTGTTCATTTATAACAGGGGCTGCAGAAAAAGAGATTAAGGGCTCTGTGTCCTCGATCTCTTTTTCTATTTTAAAAGGGAAATATCAGGGGTCTGCTGAGATCCCTAATATTTCCCCCAATTGGCCGCTGGCCACATGGTCATACACAAAGGACACCACAATGGCCGCTCTGAGATCCAGTACAAAAACAGAGAAATACAACAATAACTGAGGAGCTTTAGAGCCTAGAAGACAAAACCGCATCAAACTGACTTCCAGCCCAAAAACAAATAGATTTCCGTTCAGCAGGGTGCATCCCTAGTTTTAATTATTATTTTTCACTTATTTTTTCATAAATGTTTATTTTATAATTTTTTTAATCCTTCTCTCCTCCTGGCTGCTCTGAAGCTGCAGCGGCCGGGAGGAGAGAGAGGGAGCGCTGACAGGTGTGATCAGAGCCGCCGCAGCCATCTTGCGGCCAAGGTTTGCCACCCGTACGGTTTTCACCCGGACAGTACGGGTTTGGAATCCTGTGCACGGGTGGGAGCCCACCTCCCACCCGGGCACAGTATTCAAACCGGAGCTCCCTAAGAAAGCTGCATACCGCTGGCCGTCTTTATTGTGATGGCCGCAGTGCTCATCTGCCTGTCTCCTCCTTCTGTGGCATTATCTCCTCCCAGCTCTGACATCACATCCTGCAGGTACCGAGGGAGGACAGAGACCGAGAGCGCAGACACGGGCAAGTTTTACAGTATTTGTATATTAATATATAACTTTTTTTTATATATATTTCAGATTTTAGTACTTATTTTAATTAGATTTTTGTTCTTCATATATCTGCGGTGCTCGCTGACTGATTGAGCCCACCTGAGGGCCGCATAGCCCACCTGAGAGTGCACACAGCCCACTTGAGAGCCGCATAGCCAACCCAAGAGTGCACATAACCCACCCAAGACTGCACACAGCCCATCTGAGAGCCGCAAAGCCCACCTGAGAGCCGCATAGCCCACCTAAGAGTGCGCATAGCACACCTGAGAGCTGCATAGCCCACCTAAGAATGCACAGAACCCACCTGAGAGCCACATAGCCCACCTAAAAGTGCACACAGCCCACCTGAGAGCCGCATAGCCCACCCAAGAGTGCACACAGCCCACCCAAGAGTGTACACAGCCCACCTGAGAGCTGCATAGCCCACCTAAGAGTGCACAGAACCCACCTGAGAGCCACATAGCCCACCTAAGAGTGCACAGAACCCACCTGAGAGCCACATAGCCCACCTAAGAGTGCACACAGCCCACCTGAGAGCCACATAGCCCACCTAAGAGTGCACACAGCCCTCCTAAGAGTGCACACAGCCCACCTGAGAGCCGCATAGCCCACCTGAGAGTGCACACAGCCCACCTGAGAGTGTGGCACAGCCCACCTGAGAGCCGCATAGTCCACCTAAGAGTGCTCATAGCCCACAAAATTACCGGTCTCGATTTACCTTAGTAACCGCTACTTCCAGCAATCCTTTTCTGGAAGATCCCTTCTTTTTCCGTGTTGCAGATACACCAGAATATGCTGATATGTACTAATTGTATTACTGAGATGTAATTATATATTTTGAGCAGTAGATGGCGCTATAATGCAATGTTAGTCAATGCTAGTTTTTTTATATGTTTATATGTTTTTTTATATGTTCTTTTTTTTCACAGTATTTACCAAAAGTTGAATTTATCATCTCAGAGAAAACTATGATATATACAGTAAGTTCTCTATATATGCTGTAAATGCTGTATTCTGATGTAATGTCCATATAAGCAAGCAAAACTTAATCCAGCATTCCTTAAGATCTCAGTGCTTCATCTAAACACATACCAACACTTGTCTCATCTCTTCACTTTCTGTCATAGTGTGTCTCCAGTCTGTGGAAGAGCAATGGAACCATCTTTGGACAGCAGCATTATTAACATGTGGAGCGCATTTGTTTCAAATTTTGCTTTTGGCATAAAGGTTTTACATATATGAATAAAATCTGACTTTGTAAGTATTCCTGTCAGTTTTGTCCCAATATCAAACCGCCACTTTTGCTGGACAGCTTGGTCTGTTAAAGAAATAAAAACAAAAAAACAGACACACTGGCTGGATCACCAGGTGAAAATAAAGGGAAAAAATATGTAATTGGTAAGCTGTGATGGATTACATTTTTGCTTTTGACTTAGATACGCTTTACAAAACACGGGGACCATGAGGGAAAAAATAGCCACCTTCCAGCGGGAGGGACAGTGACAGCACAAATTCAGAGATGATTTGAGGATGTACAGCCGAGTGATACACAAATAAACTAATCATTTTTAAGATTCAACTCGAGTTTAGTGACACTTTAAATGTGATGGCTGGATAGGTTTTCTTTATTTAGGCTTATTTTTATTTTCATCTGATGATTCTACCAGTAATACACTTGCTGTCTTAAGGTAGCTTCACTCTATGGAGGAGCAACAGAGCCACCCTTGGGCAGCAGCATTGTCATGGAGAAAGTTGTGTTAGATGGACTTGACTAACTGAATTCCAGCTAACAATTTTTAAGCAGTTACAGTTTTATATAAATGAATACAAGATGACCATTGCAAGCACCTCAGTACTTGTTAAGTAGTTTGTCTAAACCCTCTATCTGCCACTTTTGCTTGACAGTTTGGTCTGTAACAGGAAGTTGAAAAAAGCCTAAAAAAAGAAAACTAATGTATACACCACATCTAAGGATAGGTAAGCTGAAATATCTTACATTTTTGGGGGGTTTAGATATGCTTTAATTGTTGCAAAATAAAATTATGAATGCAAATAAAATAGCACATACACCTTAGTAACTTTACCCTATTGTGCTATTCCCATATAGCTCTTCATTGCAATGCTGCTCCCCCTAATGACATTTAAAGCAGAACTAGGATTAGGGATGCACCAATACCGTTATTTTTTCTTGGTACTTGCCGATACCAAATACCGAGTACCGGTATTCGGTATCGGCGAGCACCATTCAGGAAGCCAGGCGGCGTGTAATGACTAGCCACCTGGCTTCCTGATTAGCCGGGAAGCCGGGCAGCGTGCAAAGACTCGTCACACGGCTTCTCGATTAGCAGGGAAGCCGTCCCCATGCTTCTCATCACTAGGTGACGAGAAAGCATGGAGCCGGCTTTCAAGTCAATCAAGAAGCCGGGCGCCGGGTAATGACGTGACGCCCGGCTTCCTGATTGGCCGGGAAGCCGGCTCCATGCTCCCTCGTCATGAGGTGACGAGGGAGCATGAAGCCGGCTTCCCGACCAATCTTAAAGCCGGCCACCGTGTCATTACACGGCGCCTGGCTTCCTGATTGGCCAGCTTCCGACCACTCCGGAAGCCGTGCAGCGCATCATTACTGTACGTATCGGGCTAGGCATCGGAGCATTTTGGCGAGTACTCGTACTAAATACTCGGCATCGACACTGGTATCGGTGCATCCCTGACTAGGATTGTATAGCACCTACAGGTATTAATTATCTCTCAGAGAGACCATAGTACTCCCTCTTCATCTGCAATTCATCTGTGTTTCTTTGCAGAAAGAAAAAACTATCTTTGCTACTTCCTATTACTGTACTTTGCACATCAGCAATTATTTTACCCTTAGTGAATAAGCCTGACCACATTTTTTATACATGAAAGTGGTCTCTTGGGGGGCTTCTAGTTCTTTTTTTTCACAGTATTTACCAAAAGTTGAATTTATCATCTCAGAGAAAACTGTACCTGGCACAACTGGAACTCCAGAAAACACAGAATGAATAGTGCGCTGTAGTATTTGGTATCCAAAGTTTGAATCATCATAAGGGCTAATAGGAAGGGGATCAAATGAGTTGAGGACAGAAAGTTTCACCCTTTCATCATTAATAGTATATCTTACAATATCTAAAACCTGCAAAAAGAAAAAGAAAAACAGAGGGGTTATTTACTCACTTATATACTCATCCCTTTCTCTGTAGGAAGTCTATACCATGGATTATGCTGCCATCTACATCAGAATGGACACTATGCACAAAAAATACTGTCCAGATGCCATAAGACCACCCCTACTAATGGATGCAGAAGTTAAAGTGGAGTCAGGTGGTGTGTGTGCTGGAGGCACGCAAAGACAGCTAGGGAGGCTGGGGAGAACTGGTGAGGCTAGAAGAGAGCCATGAGCCTGAGGGGCCGCCAATACAAGCGTGGGAAAGCACTTCTAAGAGGGGCAGTGTGTCAGAAGTGTTAATGTGTAAAATGGCTAAACTTGTGTTATGTTGCAAGTATGGCATGAATGTTATGCTGAACAACCCCTGCGAGAGTATCCAAGGTGGATGCATGAACTTTCGTTTGAATAAAAGTGGGCTACCAGGCCCTTAAACAGATGGTATTGCAAGTGGACTGCATCCTTAAAGCGCTCACCATATGTGCTAATATCCCCAAACATCACAATATATATGTAATGTTAAAAAAAATGAAAACAGGAGTATTGCAGTATGCAATGATAACTTTCTTATTGGACTAACATATTGGACATGCTTTCGAGAGTTAACCTCTATTCTTCAGGTCAGAAGCAATACTAATCAATAGGGATGCACTGATACCGATGCTAGTATCGGTGCCAATGCCGGGTATTTGGGCGAGTACTCGGCATCTGCACCCATACCGATATTAGTATCGGTGCCGATGCAGAGTACTTGCCCCAAATGCTCCGATGCCTAGCCCGATACTTCCTGTATCAGGAAGCCGGGCAGCACGTCATTACACGATGCTCGGCTTCCTGATTGGAATGCTCCCTCGTCACTTGTCAGAAGCTGGCCAATTAGGAAGGCAGGCGCCGTGTAATGACTCGGCGGCCGGCTTTCTGATTGGTAGGGAAGCCGGCTTCATGCTCCCTCGTTTTTAGTTTTCGTTGTGTTTGCACATGTCTCTGTGAGTGCGGAACAAACACTGGGGCGATCGTCTGAGCACTCCAGTGTTTGTAAATAACTGGGGACACATCGTACAATGTGTCCCCATGAATGAACAGGATGTGATTTACATCACTTCCTGTTCATTCATGAATTTCTGAATGGGGAGTAGCACTCACTACAGAGGCTTCTCCCCATTCACAAACTGGTGATAGTAAATATTTTCTGAATGAATGGGTAGCCTCTGTACTGTGTGCTTCCCATTCATTTAGTACAGATGCTGCAGAAAAAGAGATTGAGGACTCTGTGTCCTCAATTTCTTTTTCTATTTTAAAAGGTAAATGTCAGGGGTCTGTTTAGTCCCCTTGAGAGCAGGAGGTCTTTTGGGGAGCGGAGATGACGGTTTGGGTGATATTTTGAGATGAGGTCAGTGATGTAGGTTGGGGCAGAGTTGTAGATGGCTTTGTATGTTGTTGTTAGTATTTTGAATTTTATTCATTGGGCAAATGGGAGCCGGTGGAGGGATTGGCAGAGAGGGGCGGCAGACACTGAACGGTTGGTAAGGTGGATGAGTCTGACAGCAGCATTTATGATAGATGGAAGGGGGGCCAACAAGCAGGGAGTTACAGTAGTTGGGGCGAGAGATTACAAGGGAGTGAATTAGAAGCTTTGTGGTTTCGTTTGTTAAAAAGGGGCGTACTTTGGAAATGTTACGGAGGTTGAGTTGGCAGGATTGGGATAGTGATTGGATGTGGGGCTGAAGGGAGAGCTCAGAGTCAAGGATTATACAGAGTACCCTGGCTTGATGGGAGGGGTTGATCGTAGTGTTGTTAAATGTGATGGGGAAGTTGGGGGAGGGAACACGGATAGGAGTGTTAGGCTTGTGGTGTGGGCCCGAGTTGACGAGGAGGACCTCCCTTGCAACCCCGTCTGTGACCACTGGGGTTGATAACAGTGTGCGCAGGCAGGGGGTGCACGGGTGACGGATGCTGACTCCGTGTTGCTCTGAAGAGTGGAGACCTGATGGAGCAGTGGGCCGTTAAGTCACCCAACTGGGGAATTAGGAGGCAGACTGGATCCAGGACAGGTGGCACGAACAGTACTGAGGAAAGTCCAAGGGATCGTCAGGAACAAGCCGGGTTGGCAACAGGCGGGCAGAGGCAGTACCGAGGATTATGCAAAAGAGTCGTCAGAAAGGCAAGCAGGGTCGATAACAAGCGGGCAATGGTGGTACAAAGGGATAATCAAGAGAATCGTCAGGAGTAAGCCAGATCACAGGGTTTCCAGGAGACAGGAGCAAGACACAGACATCCAACGAGTGATCAGATGCGCCTTATATAGCCCAGGGATGGCCTATTGCGCATGCGCTGGCGCGATGACATCATCGGGATGTATCCACGTAGTGACGTCACGCCGCGTGACCCCGCCGGGTCGTCTAACGTCTGCGCCTGCGCGGCCTGGAAGCGTGTGCCCGCACTGGAGCCCGAATCGGGCCCTGACATGCCCTCTGGACCGGGACCCGCCATGGCCTACAAAGCGGGACCCGACATGGCCCCCCCCTAAGGGGCGGCCTCCGGGCGCCCATCAGGCAGGCTCTGTTTGGGTTGCTTCGCAAAAAGGCTCGGAGCGTGGATCGCCGATATGGGTTCCCAGGAGTTATCTTCCATACCGTAGCCCTTCCATTTGATGAGGTACTGGCCGGTGCCCCTAGGCCTGCGAAAGTCCAGAATCGCTTCCACCTCGTATTCCTCCTCTCCGTCGATTAGCACAGGATTCGGAACGTCTGATGAGCGATCTGAAAAAACGTCCGGCTGGACTGGCTTCAATAAAGAGGTGTGAAAGACAGGGTGGATCCGATAGGCTGGCGGGAGGGTCAGGCGATAGGATGCTGGGTTAATTTGGCGTTCCACCGGAAAGGGCCCGATATACCGGGGTCCCAATTTTCTGGAAGGGCAGGCCAGTTTGAGGTTCCGAGTAGACAGCCACACCAGATCTCCAGGTTGTAAGGTTAAATCCCCTCTGCGGGAACGATCATACGCACCCTTGGCCGCAACCTGGGCCTTGGAAATGGCCCGTTGGAGCAGGATGATATTGGAGCGGAGGAAGTCCATTGTCTTTTGGGCAGCTGGGACTGTCGACTCCAGTCTCCGGGTGGGTAAACAGGCTGGGTGGAAGCCGTAGTTGGAAAAGAAAAGTGACTGGCCCGTGGTGGAATGTCTGGCATTATTGTACGCAAACTCTGCTAATGGAAGCAGGGACACCCAGTTGTCTTGGGAGAAGGTGGAAAAGCAACGGTCGGGGCGGACGTGAATTGTAGCTTGAGCTGAGTAAAAGCTGCCTGGGCCTCTTGGGACCACTGAAAACGACTCAGTTTCCTGGTTAACTGGGTGATAGGCAGGACGATTTTGGAGAAATCCTGAATGAATCTCCGATAGAAGTTTGCGAAACCCACGAAGCGCTGCACCCCCTTCCTGTCCGTGGGTGGAGGCCAATCCAAGATGGCCGATATCTTCTGAGGGTCCATGGAGATGTCACAGCCCTAAAAACTGGATTGATGGACGCTCGAATTCGCACTTCTCAGCTTTAACATATAGCCCCTGCTGTCTGAGACGGGTGAGAACCTGTTTCACGTGGTTGCGATGGACATCCAGGGAGGCCGAGAAGATGAGGATGTCATCAAGGTAGACAATGACAAAAAGGTCTAGGATATCATGGAAGACATCGTTCACCAGATGTTGGAAGGTAGCCGGGGCGTTGCAGAGCCCAAAGGGCATGACAAGGTATTCATAGTGCCCAAACCGAGTACGGAATGCCGTTTTCGATTCGTCCCCCTCCCGGATCCGCACGAGATTGTAGGCACCCCGCTATAGTCTTCTACAGGTCGACGACCTTGGCGAAGTGAGATTAGGACCGTCTCAGCGGATGAGACCTGGTGCGGGTCATCATATAGCAGGGCCATGGCATCCATGAATCCCTTGGATGACTCCAGGAGAGGGTCTGATAGTTTCAGGAGACGGTGGGCCCAAGCCTGTGGTTCGTTTAATAGGAGTGAAATAATGAACCCCACCTTGGTTTGTTCCGTGACGAAGGTGCGGGGTTGGAGCAAAAAGTAGAGCTGACAAGCGTTCCGGAATGCACGGAACTTGGTACGTTCACCAGAAAACTTCTCCGGTGCTGGCACACGGGGTTCTGGTGGTGGACCCATTGCGGCTGCAACAGGTGGTAGAGGGGCGGCATCTGGCACATTATCCGGTGCAGGAGTCGGTGCAGCTGGAGCGGCCCGACTCAGGGACTCCAGCCGGCCCTCTAGTTGGATATAGCCTTCCTGAAGGCCCTGCACGGATTCGGTAAGAGTGGCCATCTGCTGGCACAGTTCTTCCATGGGAGGCCTCCCTTCGGACCCACGAGTATTGGCTGAGTGATTTTGTTAGGCTTGTGGTGTGGGCCCGAGTTGACGGGACCTCCCTTGCAACCCCGTCTGTGACCACTGGGGTTGATAACAGTGTGCGCAGGCAGGGGTTGCACGGGTGCCGGATGCTGACTCCGCATTGCTCTGAAGAGTGGAGACCTGATGGAGCAGTGGGCCGTTAAGTCATCCAACTGGGGAATTAGGAGGCAGACTGGATCCAGCACAGACGCACGAACAGTACTGAGGAAAGTCCAAGGGATCGTCAGGAACAAGCCGGGTTGGCAACAGGCGGGCAGAGGCAGTACCCAGGATTATCCAAAAGAGTCGTCAGAAAGGCAAGCAGGGTCGATAACAGGCGGGCAATGGTGGTACAAAGGGATAATCAAGAGAATCGTCAGGAGTAAGCCAGATCACAGGGTTTCCAGGTGACAGGAGCAAGACCCAGACATCCACACAGGCTGAAGCTCACTCAGCACTGAACGAGTGATCAGATGTGCCTTATATAGCCCTGGCGCGATTACGTCACCGGGACGTATCCGCGTAGTGACGTCACGCCGCCTATTGCACACTGCAATACTGCATTTTTGTCTTTTTTGA